AAAGCTAATGATCTAACTGTAAGAACAAATATGGAGGTCAATAAAAGTAGGCACTGCACCAAACTCTTATCATCTCTAGGATTATATGATGAGGGAATGAATTACACTGAAAGGTTGTCAAAGAATCCTTTGACTTTCCTAACAATTGGATAGCCGTGATGCATTGCTAAATGCTAATCATGGTCTATGGAATTGAATTAGTTAATTTAAAACTAAATATAATTCATTTAAATTAATTAATTAATAATATTATAATTCAATTCCATTGCCAACTTGTTAAGAACCTATGGGTTACACACAAAGGTTGCAATTTGGATTAAATTGAGAGTGTGATGATTTAAGTTAGACTTAAATCGAATTTTAGGTTTCAACTACTAAGGACCTAATTAAAAGAGTTTAGTTAGGTATTAGTTAAATATTATAATTGTTATAATATTAAGGACTTATTTAGCAAATTTTGACAAGTTAAACCTAGATATAAATATCACATTATAGCCACTCTTTCTTTTAATGAGGCGGGGAAGGAAACAAAATAAAAAAAATCCTCTTCTTTCTTGAGTGCCACCACTCTTGAGAGGTTTTATTTTATTTTGAGAACTTTTTCTTTGATCATTTGGTAGAAATCAAGAAAAAAAGGAGACAAATCGTTGTCCACTTGCTAGCACAAGCCCGTGGCATAAAGCTCTCTCCTTGGAAAGGATCCGTTGCAATCGTGTGTGCATCATTGGAGGCCAAGGTATTGAGTGGCTCGGATTCTTTCACACAAAAGGTATTCACGTTTTGTCACCAAAAGGAATCCATTTGATTACGATATCACTTGGAAAGGTAAAATTTCTCTGTTTTTATGTGGTACTTAACTTTGCATTAAACAACCAAGGTGATCCAAAGATAGGAGGCATGTTTTATGTTATTTCAATTTTTGTTATTCCACCGTGTTGATGCTGTAATCATGTCATTCCTAGCAATTCATAATTATTCTCTTATAAGCATCAGCACTTTTAAGTTCACACATGCCTAGATCAAATTCCCTTTTAAGTCATCAAATAGGTTAACCAATACCACACATAATCTAAATCAAAGTCAAGGGTGTTACAGAAACCAAGGCAGACCTTATGAGTTGGTGACATTAAGGAAAATGTGCAAAAATATAGCAATCTTTATGCTATTAAAATATTTTAAATATCGATTACTTTAAAAATTTGTGAAAGCCAGAAAAAGTATCTGTTCCTAAATAACAACAAATTATAGATTAAACTGAAAGAGCCAACAACATCTATTAATCTGATATTTTCCACAATATGGATATCTCTATTTTCTAATGCCTTCAACTTAGAAAATATTGCAAAATCTAACTTATTGATCTAAATGGTTCTGTTTATAGCAACTTATTAATGTATAATCAACTTGAAACAAATTCTCTATCATATATTCACTCTAAAGTTTTGATCAACAAGTTTTTCAACCTATAAATACTTAACTTTGCTCAATCCAATAAAAAACCCATTTCCAAAATTGTCATAAATAGATACACATATTAAAAAATAAAAATACAAATAATTATATAGTTTATGAAATAACTTACACTCTAACATTTTATCAACCTTTCAATTCTAAAATTACAAACTACCACAAATTTCTCACAATTGTGCTTGACATAAAAAATGTAAAAGCTTAATGTAAAAAAAAACTAGAAAAAGCAAAACCAGTATGACTATAAAGCAACATATATAATACCCAACAGTTAACAAATCTGAAAGGGAAAAACATGAATATTACAAAGAAAAAGTTTACTGCTAACAAAATCTATATGCTAAACACAATCTTACCACATCTAAAAAATATGAGTGACAAAACCTTCTCATTGAACTTTTAGCTATTATGTTGTCTGCTTCATAATAACTCTATTTTATAGAGTTATCTTACATTCTTTTGACCCTAAAAATGACTAATATCCTCTTAATTTTAATTAATTTAGACTTTATTTTTACATTTTCTTAGTATTTACTTTATACACGCCTTAGTAGTTTAAGTAAGAATTTGAGTTTATTTCCATGCTATTGAGTCTTGTTTATGCTTTCTATTGATTGTGCTATATGTTGGTAAAGGTGCAAAAGAGCTTGGAAGTCAAATTTGCAAAGGATCATGCACTTTTGCTCAAGTTGACCTCAAACCAAGCTGTAGTAATTGAATCATGTCTTAAGTTGAAAAATTCTGACTAACACAATTCTTAGACCTATGGAAAGATAAAGAGGAAGAGCTACAATTTTGGTGTTTACCACTTCACCCAGTTTAAAAGGGATCATGGTAAAAAATGTAAAGGAATTTGACTAATTGTAGTAGACTACCGTGTGGATAGCAACTTGGGTGCTAGATGCTGAATGTACTGCCCTGCACCTTAAAAAGGCCAAGAACAGAACCTTGGGTTCCTAGGCACTGAAATGTAACTATTTACATTATTGGCCACTCGGTTTTACATTAAATAGCCTACAAAGAATGTATAAATACAATTTACTTAAGGTTGAAAAAAATAAGAGGATTCCAATACTAATTAGGGCAAAAAGAGGTTGGAACTAGAAGGGAAAAAGAAAAAGATATCAAAAGATTGAAGTATCAAAAAGCTGCTCAAAAGAATTTCTCACTCTAGATTTGATTTTCTCTCTTTAACTCTTTTTGTAGAAATGTTTCATTTTTGCTGAGATTCGTGTTTTTATTTTGAATATGTTGAGATAGAACTCTTAATCTAGGGTTGTGGTGGATTTTAGCTCAACATATTCAAAATACAAACACAAATCTCAATAAAACAAAGCATTTCTACAAAAAAAAAGTTAGAGAGAAAAAAAATCAAATCTAGAGTGAGAAATTCTTTAACGCAGCTTTTTGATCCTTCAATCTTTGGATTTCTTTTTCTTTTTTCTTCATGGTTTCGACCTCTTTTTGCCCAAATTAGTGTCTGAATCTTCCTATTTTCTTCAGCCTTCAATAGATTGTATTGATACCCTCTTTGTTGGCCATTTGATGTAAAATCGGATGGCCAATAATATTACTTGAAAAGTCCACATAGCCAATAGAAATAACGCGTTTGTTTGACTTAGGCTCAGGCTCAGACTCAGCTATTGTCTCTAATGCAATATTAGCCAAATCTAAAAAATATAATAATAAATATGGTAAATTGATCTTTGGCAAATCTAATAAATTAAATCACAAATAAAACTATAAAATAATTACAGCAATCAAGTTTATTGAGCTTGTCCAAATCATCTTCAATCAAATCTGGATCATCACATGCCAATCCATGTAACCAATTTCGAGCACAAATAAGCTTTTGCATGACCTTAGGAGTCAAAGAACTCCTATATGCATCAAGCACACATCCATTGGTACTAATAGTGGATTCCGAAGCAATTGTTGATACAAGAATACAAAAACATCATGAGCAATAGTGGCAAGTATAGGAAACCTAAATTGATTGAGTTTCCACCACATGAGAACATTAAACTCATCATCATCATCGAAACCCTCATGATCCTTAAGCTCAAATAAATATTTCTCCAATTCCATTTTCGACTCTTTAGACTCAGTATTTAACCGGTGTTTTTTGAACCTATTCAATCTTTTCATAGTACGTTTTGTGTCCTTGCCGATCAAAGTTGAAGCAACACTATCACTACAACCACAACTAGTGCCTTGTCCCATGGACGTTGGACACTCTTGACCACTTTCACCAACATGAGATTGAGGTTGTAGCATATTTTTATAACAATTGAACAGCTTATCCATTGTTTGTATCACCAAAGAAAATATCATTGAAGCTTGTGTAAGAAGATACATTTCTAGCAAAGTGAATTTAACATAAGCAAGCTTTTTCCTCGGATCAACTACAGGAGTAATGAACAACTCCAAATTCATTTTGTCCATATTCCCTAATACTTGTCAAATTTTTCTTTTATATCGTAAATCAACATCATCACCATTTTGCTAATCAATCAAAGTGGTACACACATAGAAATGGAATATAGAAGAGAATTAATAGTTATGTAAGATGAACTTGAAACACTCAAGATCAAATCATAAAATTCTCTCAAGAAATGAGAAATCTTTTTAAGATTTGCACAATCTCAGTCATCAGGCACCTCATCTCCAAACCTCAAAAGCTCAGGTATGTTGCTATTATCACATAACTCAAATGATGCAAAAACCTGTTTAAATTTCAAAGTTATTTCCAACATAAAAAAAGTAGAATTCCATTTAGTGCTCACATCCAAACACAATAAACAGTTGCTTTTAACTCCCGCGCTAGTAGCACACTCTTTAAACTTGGCTAATCTAGTTGTGGATTGTCTAACATATCTCACTGCCCCTTTAACACGAGCAATTGAGATATTAATATCCTTCAATCCCTTAGATACTATAAGATTAACAATATGAGCAATGCATCCCACATAAAAAAATCTACCTTTTAAAATACTAGTTCTAGCAACATTAAATTTTTTTCTTCAAATGTCCTATTATAACATCATTTGAACTAGCATTATCAATAGTCATAGAAAAAAAATTTTAGATCTCCCAATGAAGCAAACATTTACTAATTGCCTTATCAATGGCCTCATCTTTGTTACTAGTAATAGGACAAAAGTTCAAAATCTTTTTTTGCGACTTTCAGTCATTATAAAAAAAATAGACAATTAGACACATATAATTAATTCTTTATGTCGAAGTCCATGTGTTAGTAATGAGACACATTCTACGAAGACTTGATTTTAATAATTTTCTCATCTGAGTTTTTTTATTAGTATAAACATTATAACAATCCTTAACAATAGTTTATCGTGATGGTATACGAAATCTAGGACATACTTTGTTTATATGCTTCTTATATCCTTAATTTTTCACAAACTCAACTAAACTCTTCCTAATTGTCTCTCGATCAAACTTCCGACTACCCAACCCATCTCCTCTCTAAGCAAAAACTAATTCCATTTGCTTGTTCTCCTCATTATCGCGGACCAATTTCAACTTCAGACAAACTTTAATATAATTATTCAATGAAGACGTTCTATTTTTTTTCATATCAGCACACAATTTTTTACCACAATAAGAACATGTAGCCTTCTTATTACCTTTCTCATCAACAAATTTGGTGAAGTGATCCAACACAACTGATGTAAATTGAGGTGGTTCCCTTTGCTTTTGCACTTTGCTTAAAACTTCAAATATTTTGTTGGCTTCAGTAGAACAAGTAGTAACATGAGATGTAGATATTGATAATGTTGATGTTGGTGTCGGTGTCTCACTAGTTGCCAAATTTGTTTCCTCATTAGTTGACATATACAAAAAAAAAACTTAAATATTAATTTCAATAATTAATTTTAGCATATTGCCAATCATTTTAATTGAAAATCTAAATAATAATTCTAAATATTAATTCCCAAACATAATTTTTATGTTTAATTTTAGTATATTGCCAATCATTTTAATTGAAAATCCAAACAATAATTCTAAACATTAATTTCCAAACATAATTTTTAATGTTTAATTCTAGAATATTACCAATCATTTTAATTGAAAATCTAAACAATAATTCTAAACAATAGTTCCCAAACATAATTCTTAATGTTTAATTCTAGCATATTGCCAATCATTTTAATTGAAAATTCAAACAATAATTCTAAACACTAATTCCTAAATATAATTGTTAATGATTCTAGCATATTACCAATCATTTTAATTGAAAACCAAAACAATAATTCTAAACATTAATTTCAAACATAATTCTTAATGTTTAATTCAAGCATATTGCCAATCATTTTAATTGAAAATCCAAACAATAATTCTAAACGTTAATTCTCAAACATAATTTTTAATGTTTAATTCTAGCATATTATCAATCATTTTAATTAAAAATCTAAACAATAATTCTAACTATTAATTCCCAAACATAATTCTTAATATTTAATTTTAACATATTGCCAATCATTTTCATTGAAAATCTAAATAATAATTCTAAACATTAATTTTTAAATATAATTTTTAATATTTAATTCTAGCAAACTTTAATCTTTCTGCTTACACTAAAATATTATGCAAATAACCACAAGACTCAATATGCTCAAAGATGCTCATAATATAAGAGCATGTAATATGCTTAAGTTATTTGGTGTATGCTATTTTCACAAAAAGAAAAACTTAAGCTCTCTCTCTTGCTATTTTCACAAAACCAGTAGTTATGAAAAATAAAAATCTCTGGTTTACCTTGCTAGTTGCTGCCAAGAAAGGCATGAATGGGTGGCTGACAGTAGTCTGAAATGACACTGATGGCAGCAAATGGATGCGCTATGAATGGGTGAGCTAATTACGTGAGTTAGGGTTTAAGAGAGGGGGAGATTGTAGATGAGGGGAATTTTATCGAGGGAAGGTGGTTGGCCGGCTTAAGTTATTTAAGGGGTTAAGATAATCTTTAACCCCTCAAAATAAAAAATAAAAAGGGTGAGGGTCGGTTTCTCGATCGACAATTGAACCAATCGACATTGAACCAATCGACAGATGAGGTTAATTGTTGCAGTCAATGAGCTGACCTATCGATTCTTACAACTGACGATGTGGTCGGTTGCTCAGTTGCAACCGATTGCTGCACACTCTAACACTGATTGATGCCCTTTTATATTAAAAAAAATAAAATAATTAATAAAATATATATAATAATAATTTTAAAAAATTAATAAAATTTAAGCTGTATTCCTATGCATATCTTTGGTTCGAATGGGCTTTTGAAGAAACTTCAATTTGGTTTTGCTATAAAACACATAGGATTCACGACTTGAATTTTTTGCTCACAAATTAATATACTTCAGATTAAAGATGGAGGGCTTGAGGGTGTGGAGGCTAACCTCATCAATTGCAAGGCCGTTGAGTTTAAGGCAACCACTTGGGTTGGGTTATCCTTCCTCTGATCTAGTCCTTTTCTCCTGGAATGGCGGCGTTGCCACCGCCACCAACACTCGCAATAGTCGGTCTTTTACATTCACTTCCACCTCCACTTCGAATCTTGAAGTCGTTTGTGCCATCCGCCTCAAAAAGGTGGAACCATTGTGGAGCAAAGGGTCGCAACCTTATGCTTATAAGTGGGATAGAAGTTATAGATTGGGCTCTTCTTCCTCTGATATAGTCCCTTGCTGCTCAGATGGCGGCGCAGCCGCTACCAACACCAAGCTGCACTCTCGCAATCGTGGGTCTTCGACTTCCACTTCTACTTCCACTTCGGACCGTGAAGCCGTACGCGCCATCCGTTTGAAAAAGGTGGAACAATTGCGGAGCAAAGGGTTGGAGCCGTATGCGTATAAGTGGGATAGAAGTCATAGTGCTAGGGAGTTGCAAGAAATATATAAGAATCTAAACAACGGTGAAGAGTTAGATAGTGAGAGTCATCATGTCTCTGTTGCAGGCAGAATTGTTGCTCGCAGAGCCTTTGGAAAGCTTGCTTTTCTCACTTTAAGAGATCACTCCGGCACCATTCAGGTTCTTTTTTTTTTTTGTTCATAATGCTTCTTCCTCTGTATTATTCTCTCATAATGTCATTCACATTTAGACTATATTTTTAAAATGGTTGTAGCTTTACTGTGAGAAGGAAAGGCTTTTGAATGATCAATTTGAGCAGTTAAAGACCCTTGTTGATATTGGTGATATATTAGGTGCATCTGGCTCTATCAAGCGGACTGAGAAAGGTAAACTTCTTCATTAAAGAAATTCACTATGATTACCCTCTATTCTAATCTCTTTTTGTGTATATATAAAAGTCAAAGCTCCCCTTAATTTCATTACCTTCTTTTTCTGATTCACTTTTCAGGGGAGCTTTCTGTTAAGGTGGATTCTTTTGCAATTCTTACAAAATCTCTGCTTCCGTTGCCTGACAAGTATCATGGTCTAACTGACATTGATAAGCGTTATCGTCAAAGGTTACTTGTTTTCTGCAACTTGTATTTTTCTTTTTGTTATTCGTTGTGAATCATATTATAAAGTACTCAGTCAAACCCATAATTTCAATCCATCTCATTGTCCAAGTACTAATTGATTATTTTACTGAGCTCCTCAAATAATTTTTTCTTATTTTCCATCATTTTTCCCCTTAAAGAAAGATCTGAAACATTCTTGAACTTTGCTTGTCTCTATTTAGCATAATTGTCATATGAAATTTTTTTTAACATCTTATTATTTTGCATAATCATCTTTTAATCATTAACAATCATGTCAAGGGAGTTTTTTAGTACATAACTCCTACATGTCTGATAACACATTTGAAATTGTTTGATGTCCTTTATACGTTTTATTCTTGGTGTTGTGATATGGCTTGATTGTTTCATGCCTTTGACCATATTCCTCCATCGCCCCCTCCCCCTATTTTAGGTATGTTGATATGATTGCAAATCCTGAAGTTGCTGATTTATTCCGGAAACGAGCAAAGGTGATTTATTTGCACTGCCCTGACTGATGTTGATTTGACCTTTTGGTTTTCTTCCTATAGGATTGTATTGGTATGTGTTAATTATTTGGTTATTTTTTGTCTAGAGTGACTTGCACTTCTATACTCTAAACCTCCTTTGGTTGCTTGTCAAACCAAGAGAAAAGTTAGATGTTCTTCTATGGATAAAGAGTAATTCATCTTTTGTGAGACTACATTAGTTGGTTTACATGTTTAGTTCCATTTTGGATATTGGTTTATATTCTTATACAAAAGGAATTAACGTGTTGCATCTTTTTCGTTTTCCCACTATATCTACCTTTCTTGCGTTCATAAACCAGTAGAACTTTGTTTTTGTTGTGGGGAAAATAATATAACCATTGGTTATATCTAGAGGATTTATGCATTCTCGGTGCAAGGTTTTCAATATTCACTATTGATAGATATATCAGGTCTATCAAAATGTGGATTTGTTGATGGGATATTTAAATATTGATATTGATATTTATTTCAACAATTATGGAAATTTGTAAATGAGAGTTGAAAACTTTAAAACAAATTTTTAGAATACATTAATTGTTGGATTTCTGCATTTGACTTCTTAATTCAATAAATAAAAAAGCTAATAACTAAGGTATAAGTTGTTATTATGTGATATTGATTACACAAATAATATTATTATAGAATCACAAGTATAGGTATTTTATATTTATGCCGAGTTTAAAATACTATCAATTTATCACAAGGGTGATGATAGAATCTTGAATTTTAGTACATTAAAAGATAAACATAATCATCATCATATTATCAATGAAGTTGAATTTGTGTGATGCCAAGGATGTCTAAAGCTTTGGATTGTGGCTTAGAGGTGTGACTCTTTTTAATGGAATTTTATGGAAAGAATGTTGTTTATGCCACACATCACAATTCTAGTCTAGGGATTGCCACTTTAAGAGCAGAAATATCGCAATAAATTTTAAGATTGTAATGCTTTGTTGATGGCCTGATTTATTGAGCAATAAATGGAGTTAATAAATTAGAAAACAGAGGTTTATATTGAGATCCTTATTGTTGAATAGTCATCAACAGTTCTTGAATCTTGCCAACAAATAAACTATGGATAAGTGTCATAGATGGATGTTGAATCGAACCTCCTCTAACATTTTCTCTCAATTTTCTACTGCATTCTAGCCTTTTGATGTTGCTGCTTGCTTAAAGTAAGGTTTTTTCCTAATGAAAAGATTATTTGTAATTTTGAGCATGCTTGTTTTTGTAAGTGAATATAAACTCTTGCTTGGAGGAAAGTTTTAACTAATTGACTTTTTACATTTCTAAAGATTTGTCAACAATATTGGTAATTGACTTGATAAAGTTTGAACCATATATTGTATATTTTGAACAGTGTGATCTTATTTAAAATAGCTCTTAAGTTATGGATTATTTTCATGTGTATTTATGTACATGCGTGTGTATATCTTGTTTTTCTGGTACTTATAATTTGAGTTTTGATGCTTTAAAATTGTATTCTTATGAAACTTTTCTTTTAATAGATTGTGACGGAGATACGAAAGATGGTGGAATCTCAGGGTTTTGTTGAAGTTGAAACTCCAGTTCTGCAGGTTTGTGAATAATTTTCTAGTTTTTCTGGGTGTTGGCTTTTCTGATAGTGAAATAATTTGCCTTTTCTTGTTGATTACTATTAAGTAAAATGATTATTAATCGTTATTGGTGGAGATGGAAATTCAAATAACGTTTTTATCTATTGGGATGCCAACCGAGTGGTCTTTCATGTCAAAGACCTACTTATTAAAAAGCTACATTTTACTCTGTTGCACATTGACTCTCTCGGAACTTGATGGGTTTAGAGCAATGCATAACTCTAACTTGCAGTTGGCTCAAAAAAAAAAAAAAAAGGGAAAAATATGTAGGGTTTGTTTGGTTTTTGAAAACAGAATCATTTTTCTTTTCATTTTTATTAAAAATATAAAATGAGACTAAAAAATTTGGATTTTGAGATAGAAAATGTTTTCTGGAAATGAGAAGGAAATAGGTTGAATTTTGAAAGGAAGAATAAAGTTCTATTCTCTGCTTTCAAATAAAACATAGAGAAAACACTGGAAATATTGAATACATGGAAGAGTCTCTTCCATCTATGGTCTACTTAAATAGCCAAGTGTTCAAATCTCACAAAACACGAACAGCACATGAGCAATAAAAGTAGTAGCCAGTTTTAGATCAATGCCTTTTTAAGAAGCAGTTGTTGTTATATTATTGATTGAAAGATGAAGCATGGAATAAACTAGAATATGGCATGATGACCAAGAAAATATAGAAGGCACATATATTTTTTGGCTTTTCCTCTGTTTCTTTTACATCCTTACAATCTTTTTTTTTTGTTTTTGTATAAATTACCTCTATCTGTAGAACTTAAAGTTTAAATGATCTAAGAAATATTTTGTTTGACAAAGATGATTCACTATCACTGCCATTGCATTATGAACAGTAAGTGATACTGTGAATAAAAAGTGAGCAATTACTTTTCAAGTTGAGGTGGATTGAGAAAAATTCATTTAAACCTCAAATGAAATAAACCTTAACTTATGTGAACTACTTTTCTTATCTTTATTTTCTGTTTAATAGTTAAGCACCTTTATAATGATGTTTAATAATCATTCTTATAATAATTTTCCTCATCTTAAAAAAAAAATGCAAATGCCTTACTTATTTTCTCTAATTTTGTTTAGAAAAATGAATAATTATTTCTATTCACTAAACAATCTTGAAAAAAATGAACAATAGAATATGAAAAGCTTTTGTAAAAAAAGAAAATAAAAAAGTTGAAGCTCAGAGTTGTGGAAAATGAAAACGAAGAAGTAAATACTAGTAAAATTCCTTGCACTACGTTGCAGAATAAATCAATAAATTTCTATATTGGATAATAATTTTATAAAAAGGAATTATTCTAAATTATGAACATTTATGAAATTAATATCTAAAAAAAGCTATTAAAATTAAAAAAGAGAAAAGAAAAAGGAAAATAGAAAACATTCAATAATAAACATTTTCATACTTTTTTATTTTTCATATTTTCTTTTTGTTTTTGTTTTTTTTCTCTTATCTTTCTTTTTCGTTCATCAAAAGACTTTTTGCTTTATTTTAAAAATATATATTGATTGAACAAATCTGTAATCCTTTATAATAATTAGGTTAGAAAATATTAAAATAAAACAAAAGGAAAATGGAACAAAAAATAGCCCATGGAAAAGACACAAAACTATTTTAAGTCATACAAAAAGGTTGAAAACCACCCCATCAGCAGACTGCTAACTCACCACTGTAAGGCCCAATATCAAGCAATTAACTCCACATTATCACATGTCAATCAATTAGGCAACCAAATTTGCCAAATGTTAACCAAAAAATTAAATTGGTTGTGGAACCTGCTTCAGGCTAACTTTAGTTGTAGGTATATATAGTAAGAATAATCAATTTATGATTGTTGTCAATTTCATGCTGAGAATATTGTTAACAAATTTTAGTGAACTTTAGGTCAGCTGATTTAGATTTTGAGTGAGTTGCACAATTCCATTGGGTTAGATTATATTTTATCACATCTAAACACTAACACAAATCCAAAGAAAATTAAGCTCCATTTCAGGTTTTTAGCATTGTTAGAGATCATTGAACCACCAAACTTTGGTGACTCATTTTGCTTCAGGTAGCATCAAATTCATGGTCCATGAAATGCCATAGTTACAGGATTAGTCACTAGCTTAGTTGTATGCTAAAAAGAAAAGTAGGAATTAGAGATAATTCTTGTCAGGTCAAAGATCAAATATTATCAAAACATCATCCACTATTGGCTGTCAAAAATTCTTCTGATAGAGGTGGTCTTCATCATCAGATCACCTGGTCCATACACTTTGCCACCAATCTTTGAGCCACTTTTTGTTCTTTTTTAGTTCTTGGGCCCCATTGAACCTTGTGCCTCTCTTACTCCCCCATTTATATTTTTCATTTTCACTATTCCTCTCTCCTTCTCCCCTCTCCCTCAACCTTTCTCTTTCTTCATCACTTCCTGTCTTTCTTTTTATTTCCTCCCTTGCCCTTCTCCTTGAATCGGCTAGCATTGCTGACCCTCCTTCACATCCCCATGCTCCTGCAAATGTAAAAAAGACCCCTTCAAATTAAAAAACCCTAGCCATGTCCATTTTGCCAAGTGTCATCTCCATATGTAACCATAGCTTTCTAAAACAAATACACCCTCAGTTTGTTGGCCCTATATGTATATGTGTGTGTATACACACACACACACACACACACGTTAATGTTGCATGTATGATACATGGACATTTAAAGGGGTTCAACTAATTAAGCTTGAAATAATATAGAAGTTAAGGGTTGTGGAAGAGTTTAGAGCTCCTTAAAGGCTTTAAAGATGTTCTCTTACTTTGGAATCAATCTGTGTGTGTAAACCTTTTGCATCATCTCATACTGGAAATATGTTGCAAGGCACTCGAAAAAGCTAACACTGGAGTTGTTGCTAGTGTCTGAAAATTATGTGCTACTATATTTTTATTTTCCAGGTACTTAAATTAGGGTAAAATCCAAAAAGCCCCTCAAAACACTTGAAAAGAACACTTTGGTCGGTCTTGTTTTAAAATAATGTTTTTGGTCCCTTGATTGTTAACACCGTTAGTCAACCGTTAAAAAAGATTATACCCAATACTACATAAAAATTTAGCACACAAATACCTTCTTAAAAAAAATCTGTTCATGTTTCCTTCCGAAACGTAATAAAATTCGCTTTAAAATTTAATATTTGACAAAGAAGACAAAACTTAAAAGTTAATCAAAATTTAAAAGGGGATTTTTGAATGCGGTACTTTATCTTACATTGATACTTAATCTAATTCAATATTTGATAAAGAGAAAAAAATTAAAACTTTTTTTCTTTTTGAAAAGCAACTTTGATTTCATAATGAAAAAATAGAAAGAGCTACAAGTCATGGTAGAAACAAGAAGTCCAACAATCCAAATCCGACCAACAAATTGAAACTCAAGATTACTTCCGAGGTTGCAAGAAGATTAAGATGTCTTCCCATCAAATCTCAAGGCAATCACAAGAGCCCTTTCCCAACAGCCATATAGCAAGCACTACATCAAAAGCAAAACTCAGCCCCAGCCAAATAACAAACACAGCAGAGCTGAGCCAGCAAATAAAAACAAAAACACAGCAGAGCTAAAGCCTGACAAATAGAGACTGAAACCCACTACATGGTGCACCGTCAAACCTTTAAACTTTTGATATATAGTAATCAAGTCCAAATCTTTTTATGTCATCTTGAACTCTAATCTCAAAGAACAAATTTTAGGCAAAAATTTCCAACAAATTTAGTAATTACGAGTATAAAATTAATCTCTTAACTCGACAACATCAAATTTGAAATATCCATCATTGAACAAAAAAATTAATTTTAATACATTCTTTTCAATGAAAAAAATTCTCAAACTGTTTGAGAAATAAAGAGTTTTACCTCAAGAAAGTTGGTTTTCAAGCTGAATACTACCTCAAATTTCCAGGCCTTCAAATCAATTTTTTTTTTATTTTTTTTCTGATTAAGGTTTTCGGGAGAAGGATGAGCAGATTTTTTTTAAAGAGAATTTGCTTAAATTAAAAATATATATAAAGGTTATTTGTGTCTTAAAATATTTATGTAGAATCAGTTCTAATTTTTTTTTAACTATTGATTAACAGTGTTAATAGTCAAAGGGCCAAAAATATCAATTTGAAACAAGAGGGACCAAAGTGTCCTTTTGAAGTGTTTTGAGGGGGCTTTTGGATTTTACTGCTTAAAATTATGTATCACAATTCTAAGATAATACTATTTATTGCAATTTTTTTTTTCAGTTTTTGCTTGCCTTTTTATTTAGCAGTGCAAAAGTAATCTGTTTTGGTGAATTTGACTTTTATTTGATTTGATCGACTAGGGAGCAGCTGGTGGGGCTGAAGCAAGACCATTCATGACATACCATAACTCCCTTGGAAGGAACCTTTATCTACGAATTGCAACTGAACTTCACTTGAAGAGAATGCTGGTGAGGTCCTAAATAACTTTGGATTTGGATATCCTATTTAACTGCCATTTTCCATTTGGAATTTGTTGTTTTTTCCTCTTATGTCATTAATAAAAAGTGGATTTTCAACTTCAGAATTTAAACCTTAGGGCAAGACTTAGGTGGAGTTCCTTAAGTGGAGTTTGTGAAGTTCCTAAGTAAAACATCTAAATAAAAATAAATACTGATATAATGATAACACTTCATGAATAGATAAATGATGGTAAAGTATTAATGAAAAATAACATCTACGTACAGAATTTAATCAATTGTTGATGAACATGAAGAGCTTATCATAATTTTTTTTTAGTTGAAATAGATATTTAAATAAAATATTAAAACTTCTTTTTCCTTTGATTAAAAAAATCACAACTTGTTTGCACATTTAGTTTTTACAATCTATACAATCTATAGCTTTTGTCTATATTTAAGTTCTTATTTGACCATTTTTAATTGAAACTTCACAAACTCCGCCCAAGACTTTCCCTACACCTTTTATATATGGGAAACTTTCATTCTATTTTCCGGTGATTATAGTATGCAGTTTATGACTTGTTGCTTGCTATATTATGTCGGATATATTTGTTGGTACCTGAGTTGTTGGGACTCTGGTAGTGAGTGTGGGGTATGGATATGTGTAGGACACTGGTCTATTTAAACTTTTCTCATCTCTTCCTTATATTTGGAGGTTCAATACCTCATACTCATATCTACTTTGGCATGTTGGATATGTATCTGACATGGATACTTGAGGAAAAGTGAAGAGTCAGAGCAACATAGGTGGATTCTCTAAGTCCTTGTTTTCTTTTTCCATAATAAGTTCAATTCTTTCAAATGAAGTTGTAGTTAGATGGTGAGAGTTTCATGGTTCAAATTATTCTCTCCTCTCTTGTTTCTGGTTAATTATGTGTAACAAGCTTTAAGATGTCCAAAGGTTACAGCTGCACAACCACCTCTATCAACAATGACAATTACAGTCGAAGACTCCATTTGTTTTGCAGTAAATGGCTTTTAGGAAGCCATTTTTCATATTTTTTGGTGTTTGGATGTCAAAGAAAAATTTGTTCAATGGAAATGAGCATATAGTCAACAGAAAAAAGCCCTCAATTTCAGGAAATTGTCTTCCATTTTTGAAATCATGAAGATAATATTTGAAACTCACATAGAATACAACCAATAACACAGTGGCGTCAAAGCCTCACAAATCCAGCAACCCCAAACTGAAATCTGGCAACCAGGATCGGCCTCCACTGCCAAAGCCAGTGACGACCTCACACCCCCATTTTTGTCTCCTCCATGATCTCCCTCTCTCCTCCATACTCTGCCATTTGTCCTCTTCTTTACACATATGCAGCCTCCATATCACCCTCTTCCAATTCAATCTTCAGCCTCCTACACTTATAGTGTTACCTTTGCAACCTCCAAAGCATGCCACAGCCCTTTAAAAGCCTCCTTTCTATTAAGAAGTTCGCTCTTTCCTCCACAAGCTACCATTCTACTCCAAGAACTCCCATTTTTTTCGCTTCAATATCCTACCCAGCCTTGTTCAAGACCTTCGTAACCACCTTCCTCTCTTCCTCCATTGTTGGCAAGACATCTATTGCCCGCCACCTTTGCAATAGAGAAAGGTCAAAAATGGAAAAGTAAGGCAAAAAAAAAATGAGAAAGTGGAAAATGGAAGGAAACAAAGAAATATATTATGGCCATAATCTGTAGCTTTTTAAATTTTAAAATATTAGTCAATTATACAAATTATTGAGAAAAGAAGAAAACTTCAGAGAAAATGGAAGTCAAGAAAAAATTTGTCAAATGAAATGAGAAAGAAAATAAAATAAAATATACTAGTATTTATGCATTTGTACAGGTTTCTTAAAATATTAAAAATTTAAGAAAAATGTTGATTCCTTGATGGTAATGAAAAAATTGGGTGGTGATGAAAAAATAGAGTTATGCTTTTTATAATTTTTATGGCTGGGATTATGTATGAATCATTCATTTTGAACATAGCTTTTAACATTTATATATGGTTTTTGAGATTATTGGTGCTGGGATACTTAATAATATTAAGAAAAATATTTAGAATGAGAAATATATTTCACAATGTCATCTAAATAATAAAAAATATTATTCACCTTGTCATCCAAACAATAGAACACATTTTACTTTTTGAGTGAATGCCTTCCATAGAGAACTTTTATTTTTCAGAAGCCAATTTCCGTAAAACAGATGGAACCTAAGTCTTTTTCCACTATATAGGATTAGTTACATGGATCATTTTGCATAAATTTAAGACTATATCTTTATTAAGCTTAGTTTCTGATAACTCTATTAACAAAGAAAGGATAGAATAAAGAGGAATGCTGCCAATGTTGTAGCCACATATGTATTTATACTAAAAATAGCAATGTACAGAAGACCACTTGACTCTTTGCTCTAATTTTAATCCCATTTCTTCTTTGGTAATTTCTCTTGTTTTCTTAACATCGGTATTCTTCATTAAATTAAATCTTCTTGTTGGCCTTTTTTCATTACATTTTCAACCACCACAAACATGTTTCCTTCATTGTAGCCTCAATGGCTATTAATCTGACATTATCCATTGTGCACTCTTTTCTTGTTTGCCCATGCATTAGCATCGCGTTTTCATCTCTACTGCACTAATTTTTTTGTGTATCTTGATTTTTAGTAGCCCAACATTCTGTCTTCTATGACCTAGGCTTTCATATTGCCCTCTTGTAAAGCTTTTGTCTCAAGTTTTGATGGACCTTTGTGATCACACAAGACTATTGATGCACTTCTCCTTTTTGTCCACCCTACCCGACTCACGTCCCATGAGTGCTATCTCATTCAATTTTCCTATCCTTTGGGATAATTGAACTGAGATATCATTTTGTGGCTTCATCTACGAATTCCAACTAATCCTTGATTTACTACTTGTGTTTAGTTAGCATTTCAAATTTGCAGTTATACAGACAAAGTTGTAAACTTTAAAAGCATAGTTTCTTGCTATAATGCAGTTTGAATTAACCCTTCCTTTATTCTCCTCCACCAATTATAAATGCAAAATAATGAGTATATCCCTAATTGAAATTAGATCCTAGTACCCGTGGGTGACCCTCCATCAATCACCAATGGTTGAAGGAAATTGACTTAAGAGAGTTATAATGAAAACACCACTTTTCTTTAGTAAGTCCAAAACTAGCTAGAAAAGACAGCCTTTCAGTGAACAAGGTGATGATCTTAGTTGCTCAACAAGAAGCAATAAGCTCATCGCCAGAAGTTATGCAATTGTAAAATGCTTATATGCAGACTAGTAGACAAAGCAAAAGATTAAAGAGCACCCCAATAAGGTCATTTATCACCATATATAAATTTGATTTCATGGTTTGGGCTCTTAATTTGTTGAAAAACACTATTAGGAACCTCCATCTTTCTTTATTAACTAAACTCTTTTTTTCACAGATTCTAGGTTTTGTTTGATATCATACTTGCATTTCTTGTCCATAGCTATTAGTTTCATTTTATGCTATTCAAGATAGTCTTCCATCTCAGAAAGGCATTAGACTCCATCTTCTTGTCATAATATTGAGTGTCAACCTTAACCGTCATATGTACATTGTATTAGTCCTTTTGATATTTAGAAAAACACCATTTTTTTTTTTTGATTTTGGCTAGTGAGGAGAGAGCGTTAAACTAAAACAGTGTTTCTATTATGTGGAGTCTCTAGAGGGAGGTGGGTGTATCAAAAACATGTATTGGTATATTTTCTATCTTGGTTTTGGGTGGGCCTATTTTTACGCATGTTTTGGTTTCGTCAAGGAAATTGTCAGTTACAATGTGAGTAAGAAGGTGGGATCCACACACCAATAAATGTGACTGATTTCCATGGGAGAAGAAAAGGTGTGCATGGAAACAGGCAGACCCAGCAATTTTCTCAGTTAATTTATTCTTCATTTTTGCCCTGTTTCTCTTATCTTTCCATCCTTAGCGCACACCTCTAATATTTGCTTGCCTCTTAAATTTATATTGTCAACAATATTTATATTTTCTAATGACAGGTTGGAGGATTTGAAAAAGTATATGAGATTGGTCGTATATTCAGAAATGAAGGCATTTCAACTCGTCATAACCCAGAATTTACAACCATAGAGGTATTTATAAAAATACTAGTATTTATTGTCATGTGCCTTGCATGTGAATTTTTTTTTATATTTAAATAACAATTATATCTAAAAGAAAAATGTTTTTAAAGTGTAAGTTAATTGTCTTTAAATAAAAGACAGTAATAATTTAAATAAATTATATATAAAAGAAAATTATAATTGAAAGACAATTATATGTATAAGAATATTAACGATTCAATTATATATGATAGAAATTTTTAATATTAATCTATAAATTATTCAATACTATTAGAATTAAGAAAAAACATTTTTTAAAGAAAGTCATTCAATGCAATTAGAATTTTTATATATAAATTGAATAAATTTTATTAGTATTTATAATGAAAAATGTTGTTAATAATAGTCATTTGGTACAATTAAACTTCTTATATATTTACAAATTTAAATAAGTTTTATTGAATAATTATAAAAGAAATTAAAATGATAATTTATAAATATAATGCAATATGATCATTTTCGTCAACGTCCATATTTTTATCCTATAGCTGAGATTTCTGTGCTTTGTTGCAAATGTGCTTCATATGGTTTCAAGTGTTAAATTTGTTTTCTGAAGACCTGATTGCCATTGTTTTTAGCCTGATTTTAGATGTATGAGGCATATTCAGACTATCAATCCATGATGGACATGGCTGAGGAAATTGTTACCCGATGTGCTCTTGCAGTTCACGGAGAGCTCACCATTGATTACCAGGTAATGCATTGCATGGCTAATAAAAATAGTTTAATTTCATTTCAGGAGGTTCTGGAAATTCTAGTTTCTCAGTTTTTTACATTTTGGTCTTATCTGGTTGGGACAGGCTTTGAAGCAACTAATGTATGCCTTGTACGCAGGGGGTTGAGATACATTTGGAGCGGCCATGGAGGAGGGAAACCATGCACAATCTTGTTAAAGAAGCCACCGGGATTGATTTCACTGAATTTGAAAATGATCTTAAAGTTGCTAAAGATGTTGTTATGAAGGCACTTGGAGTTGGGCTTGATAGTAAGGACAAGTTTTCCATTGAAGCCTGCCCTTCACTTGGCCACCTTCTTAATGAGGTGAGTCTTCATTTATTATTTCAGAGTTCTTTAGAGTTGCAAAATTGTGTAATAGAAAATTATAATTGTAAAATAGCAATGAAAGTATAATTTAGGGAGTGAACTGAATAAATTTCATAAAAGGGAAATACAATTCCTGTTTTTCCCTAAGCTTGAAAACTATAGATAACACATTTTAATCACCCTGTTCTCTTCTCTCTGTGAGAACAATTCATGGAAATTTATTGCTCAGAATTCCTTTAGTGGGGGTTGTAGAATTCACAAAACTAGAAGCTGAGTGTAGACAGTTTCTTTTATTTAAATTTGTTTTACTTTCACTTTTTCTAGTACGAGATGATCTGTAGTTGTGATAAACCTTTGGTTTATTTATCTTTTCCAGGTTTTTGAAATTTTTGTTGAACCAAAGCTCCTGCAACCTACATTTGTTTTGGACTATCCCATGGAAATATCTCCTCTTGCCAAACCACACCGGAGGTATGGAAGGTTTGCGAAGAAGTAGTGGCATACATTTGCATTGTTACATATGTGGATTTATGCATATATATTTGTCTTCACTTTCAGAATTATCTTACTCTTCTTAGTTGTCTGAAAAATAGGCATGCAGGTTTAACTGAGAGATTTGAACTCTTCATATGTGGTCGTGAACTGGCCAATGCATTCTCTGAGTTAACTGATCCTTTGGACCAGGTAATAATGATACAGGTTGTTTTATATGCTAAACTTGGCGACTCTGATCACAGGTTGTTATGCAAATGATGAGCATTTGAATATTTAGACCATCATAATAACTCATGAAGTGGGCTTTTAGTTGGTCTGTGGCAAATTTCAATGATTTTTTCCTAGCTATAGTGTACATTAATGAAAGTTTACACATAAGTTGAAATATATGGTTTTAATTTATCTTTATCTGCTTACCTTCTCAAGAGCTTAATATGAATGCCTTCGATCCTAGCTGGGAATGGAACTAAATTTGGCTAAGCATTTGATTGCTCTTGCCTTGATCCTAGAAGTAGCATGTTTACTGTGTTTCTGTGTCAATGTGACTATTGTTTAAACTTTGTCCTGCTAAGTAGACATTGCTTACCATCCCTTGCTATAATTTGTCTCCTCTCAATGTGCTTGGCATCAAATATTGTTTTTTTCCAGTTTTCTTCTTCTAAGCAAAAAACCTTGGCCTAATTTTATTAGAGTACACCTGTGGTTCTTATATAAAGATGTTCCCCTCAGAATGCCCACAACTTTCTAATATTTTTGCTCATGTTATGAAAGTGTAATTGTGCTTATGAGTTTCATTGACAAGATCATTATTTCTATAAGAATAGCTTGCGGTAAGTAATATGAGCAGGCAATGAACGCATTGGAATTGTTGGTGTGATTGATGCCTCATTAATTGGTTCATTTATAGCAGCCTGTACATATCTCCTTCATGAGATACTTATTTGTTTATTACTCTTACAAAACTTTATAGCCTGTTTAGTGGCTTTGAAGATATAAAGCATGGTTGAACAGTCTTAAAAATCTCTTTGGGCATAATTTATGAGATATTGTTGATAATATATTTGTGAACTGTGACTTTGAGTTTGTTTTAAGTTGAAAGCAAAAGGATGGTCATTTGTTTCCAATTGTGGCAGAGAGCCCGCCTGGAAGAGCAAGTAAGGCAACATAACAAGAAGAGAGCAGAAGCTGTTTCAGTCACAGATAGTATGGAAGAAAAAGATCATAAAAATGAAGACTCTATGTATGAAGTGACTCTTGATGATGATTTTCTTACTGCTTTGGAATATGGAATGCCCCCAGCTTCAGGAATGGTATACCCATCTTGTTTGCGCTGATTAGTGTACATCATTCCTTTTCAACATGTTGATAACATTAGATTCCATCTAATCATAAACATGCTGGGTTATGACTGAGCCTGTTACTTGCATTTGATGCTTCTAAAACTGCTCCGTTATGACTGAGCCTGTTACTTGCATTTGATGCTTCTAAAACTGATCCATTCTGGTACTTCCAAGCTCTTTATGGATTGGGTTTATGTAGTATGACTTAGTTTGTATAAGTAAAAAACTCACTATACTTTGCACGTAATCTGGATTTTCCATAATAAACATAAATACGTGTTTATACATTTCAAAAGATGGTTGCATTGTGGTTCATCCATGTGTATTTATTGTTGTATATAAGGTCCATCCATTAGTTTTGTTCTGAGTTGCAACTTGTCTTTATGGAAAGTAATAAATTTTCATAAATTTTGTAGCTTCAGCTCTTGGAGTAAATGTTTATTTGTATGACATTGGACTATTGTTCTTTTTCTAAAATGGAGATTTTATGGACACTGATATAATTTTCATCTTGACACATTTGTTTCTAAGCAAATCCTGATGGAAAAAATTCTTCTTTGTAGGGACTTGGGATTGACAGGCTTGTGATGCTTTTGACAAATTCCGCCAGCATCCGAGATGTCATTGCTTTTCCTGTTTTAAAGATTCAGTCGTAAATGGCAGGATGGGTCTGCAAGATAATTTTTTTTTTCTTTTTCTTGGCATTACTTGAACATGAATGCAGGTCTTGTTGACTTGGACTTTGCTTGGCCGGCACCCATTGCTTTCATTTTTCAATTTCTCTCCTTTTTTTTTTTTTTTGAAAAGCAGTATAGTGCTTCATAATTAGGAATATTTATGCTGTATTTAGACATCCTTGATTTTGCATGAAACTATTTCATTCAAATGATCCTCTTCTATTGAACTTTGATATTTTTTCTCATTTCATTTCATAGTTGATACAATCGGTTTGTTGCATTCTCTGATATGAAAATATAACCAAAGATTCCTTTAATCATTCATGGATATATTGATTTTGGCGTGAAAGGTGTTCCTTTCGATCAGTCATGGATATCGAATTTGGATTGCAGGCTGTTGCTAACGATTTTGTTTAGGTCTGGTGCTGTCCAAAAATGTACAAGTGAGAGTTTAAAGTGAATGCTGTGACAATGGTCACTGCGAGCAACCATTGTAAATGAATTGATACAAATTATTCTCAGATTAAAAGAAATGTTATTATTTATGCATGTACCATGAGTAATGTTTTATTATAAAATTTCTCCATATATTACTTTCAATATATTTAATTCTTTTAACTTTAATTTTATTTCATCAGTGAAGGAATATACTTAAAATGATATTAACATATACTAAGATATGAAGGAAAAAAAATAATTGAGTTCACAAGAATTCCAAGGCAAAACACTATTTTTTGTTCAACGAATCTATCTATTAGTAAGAGGGATCCTTGGGCCCGTATAGAAAGTTCCAGTAATAATTAAGCATGTGATCACTAGGCGTTACTCTATCTCCCTTCCCTGTACAGAATATTGCATATGCATCTGCAGCATACCTGGTCACCAAAAACAGTACAACAATAAACTGTTTTTGCAGTGAAAAGCATGGGATTTACAGGATTGGATAGAGACAGAGAACTGCCCACTTACTTTCCTACACCATGCAGCTCAGTCACATGGGTCCATTCCTTCCACAAATACTCCTGAGACATTCGTTGTATCATCTCTGCCCTCTTCCTTTGGAGCCCAAGAGGTTTTATAGCCTTTTCTATCTCCCCCGTGGCGACCTCAGTGGCAGTCTTCGCATCGGGGCACAGAGTGAAGAGGTCGGATAATACGTTTCTAGCCTGCAATTAATGTAACTATCATTAATTTGACTACATATTACATCTACTGCTTTGTTTTCTCCATCTCGTGAGTATATATGCAACACAGTTATGCTGAATACGACACAGTTATGCAGTCAGCGACAAGAGTCACAGGTTTAGCTTGGTTTACCATCATGACATAATGTCAAGATGTACCAGCCAAGAAAACCAAGGATCTCAAGAAACTCAATTATAGTTCAATTCTGTTTCACCTTTCAACTGATATGATTACCTGCAACACTTTTAGAAAATACTAGTTGAATTCCCATTCTATTTATACAGTTACACTAAAATAACAAGAAAAATGTTTCACATCCAACCACCAAGATTATTGATAATCAAGCATGAGAGCTTTTTAGCAACACGACATCCATATTTATCAAAGAACTAAAAGTCCAATAGAGGGGACCATAGTTACAAAATTCGCTTCCCCCCACCAACATTCATATTTGATCACAAGATCCCACACGCTGATCATCAGCGATCCAATTTGCACAATCAAGCAATCCATAGGTTTCTAGAAGTAATGCACTGAAATTGACAGCACACATCTCAGCTTCCAAAGGCTGAGACATGTTGGAGAAATAAGAATTGAGGCGATCCACGTACCGGGTAACTTTGGAGGGGACTGCACACTGAAGCCTATGGACAACATGGAGGTATCTCACTTGGAAACGATGGTGATGCCCGGTTTAGAGAGAGAAACCAACTTTCTACACAAGGCAAATCACTTCTGATATTTAGTTTTCTACAAGTTATTCTTAGTTCTATTCTCCAATTTCTCAAATATTAATGCTTTCCACAAGGGTGGCAGAACAATTTTATAACTGTCTAGGTTGAAAGCTAGGTGCCATTTGTGTAACTGAGAGACCTTTCACCCCACCATGCTTTTCTCACATTAACTTCCCTACATTCCCCTGTCCCAGCTTATTCCAAACCTACCACTCCTCCCAAACCACACACAAAATGCCACGCTTTCTTTCCGCCATTCCTTCTCTCATTCTCAACCCCAGCTTCAATTACAAACAAAGACATATCTTCACATTGCAGCCATTTTGATTATTGGGACCATTACAGGTACAGTTTCGCTACATCAAAACCAGCCTTCCAAAATGGAGAGAAAATTTTTATAAACCAGATTAGCCTGTCTGCCATACACTACCTCAGGAAAGTGCTACACAACTGTGTTATGATTACTACTTTAATGAAGAAGAGCTAATTATTGTAATTTCCCTATCTAGTCACCCGATTTATACTCTAATGGTAAACAGAGAAAAAATTGTTTTCGAAACTAAATCATCATCCTACTGGATTGATCCACTTATCTCTGCAATATGTAAGACACAGAGGACAGTAATTGTAAGGGAATTACATAATGATTGTTATTACATAATATGCGAAAGCAAAAAGTTTGCCCCCAGCCTGAATACTCTTAAGGGTGTGATGCAATATGCCTTCTTAGTTCCTAGGATCAAAGTGGCATACTAATGCTCAGCTAAGATGGAAGACATGGAGATACATAGTGGTCAATAGTTGTTGAGAATTGTTGTGGTGCAATACATAAGAGGAGTCAGATGATTTGATTCATAAAAAAATGAGAAATCGTAACCTAACAAGAAAAGAAAGGAAAGCAACAGCATCTCAAAAGTTTCCACAATAAATATAAAGTGAAGAAAAGCATATTGGAATGAGATTTGAAAGAAGGAAACCTGGTTCCCAGAAGTTTTATTGAGAAGCATGCATATAAGCAAGACTCTCCAGGGATCGTGTGTATGATCCTCCTGGAGCAGTGGAGCATTGGAGCGCGGAGGAATCCATGTGTTATTGGGAGTTTTTCTTTGGTAAGCCTCATCTCTTTTCTGAGATGCAGAAAGAACAGGTTTAACTCCAGCTGGCTTTGTTGCTTTTTTCATGCCACCTAAAATGTTATCCTTGTTCTTCAGGAAATAAGGGGACGCTTTGACCACTTTGTGTTTTGGTTTGCTAGTACCACTTTCCATGTCTTGTTTTTCTCCACTTCTCAGGAAATAAGGAGAGACCTTTAGAACTTGCGCATTTGCTCTCCTCCTCTTGCCATTTTGTTTGTTAACATCTCCTTTCTTCAAAACCCTTTTATTACTATGAACAACTTGTGAAATCAAATTGAGCTTTGGTTTGCAGTTTCCACTTAACATATCTTGTTTTTCTCCACTTGTCTGAAAATGAGGAGAAACCTTTAGAACTTGCGCATCTGCTCTCCTCCTCTTGCCATTTTGTTTGTTAACATCTCCTTTCTTCAAAACCATTTCATTACTATGAGCAACTTGTGAAAGCAAACTGACTTTTGGTTTGCAGTTTCCACTTGACATTTCTTGTTTTTCTCCACTTGACTGAAAATAAGGAGAGACCCTTGGTACTTGCACATCTGCTCTCCTCCTATGGCCATTTTGTCCGCTCACAATTTCGCTTTCCTTCAAGACAATTTCATTACTATGACCACTCTTGTATGCAAGTTGGGAAAGCAGATGATCAAGATTTCTAACCTCTTTGCCTTTGGCATCCATATTATCATCCACCAGAAGATTCAAGGAATCCCCATCACCTACAATTTTTTCCTTCATTACTGGTCTCTGCCCTTCAATTTTCTTCAACTTCTTCACTACAGGAACTGCAATTCAACTTCAATTACTCAGAATACATATAAGTCTAGACAATAGTTTATATATCATACATACATTCAAATATACAACTCAGGAACTGGATTCAAATCAGTATATTAGGGTGGGAAAAAACCATCAACATGAAAGCATAACCGATTCCTTCCACAGTTGTTGAAGCTACCAGCCAATCCACAAAGATTCTTTACGGTTGCCACTCAGGAATATTGTTATACTTGGTCAGCTTGCGGAGGCAATTAGTAACAATTAATCAAAACTTAGTAAAAAATAAGAAACATATGCAAATAAATTGAGATAAAACATCAGAAAGTTCCCAAACTTGGTCAAAATGTCCGATAAAACTCTCAAACTTCAATTCAATTAACACAAAACTTGATTACTTCTAGCCAGCAAAACAAAACCCAGAATTCGTGGATTACAGAAGGGATGGGTATAGCAAATTAAGCTGATTTTCTTCTTTTATTTCTTTTTTTTTATAAAAAGAAAAGAACAGAAAAAAATATTGGCTATCGCAGATAAAAGTCATATTGAAATTAGTACCTGAATTTGCATGGACCAAGAGGCGCACGAGTCGGAGTCCTTCAGCAGTTCTACAACTCTGAGTTGGTGAAGAAGACATGCAAAGATTTTTTTAATTATTTATGAAACATTTTTTTTAATTATTGCTGTAGGTTTTTTTGTTTTATTTATTATTTCTGTATTATAGTGGCTCTTGACTTGAGTCGTGGCCAAAAGCTTTTACTTGTATATAATTCAACGTGACGAACTGTGGGGGATATTATTATTCTTTATGCATAGCCGTGGCATTGTCATCTTGCAATTTTCTTCATTAATTAAGAAACTCCGACTACTGGGCAGCAATTAAAGCGTGAACACCATTGCTCTTATCGCATTGGGAAATGGGGGCCTGCTGCTGCTGGACCTTTCCTTCTTCCCCGCCTTCCTCCTTGTATAATAGTAGTAATAATAATATCTCTTCTTCTTCTTCTTCTTCTTTATCGTGGTCATTGTCATCATCCTCCCATAATTCCTCCTCTCTTACTCGGTCTTCAAAGACTTTGAAACTATCCCAGCTCGTCCATGCCAGCTCCACTCGTTTCAGAATCACCTGCAGAGCCAAAGACCCAGAAGTTATGGATTGCGTGGGGACGGGCCTAGACGTCGAGTGCCTTGTCTGTCCAAATGAAAAGGAAGAAACGGAAGACGAAAAAGCTAAGGAAGACGAAAGAAACATATGGTTGGAGTGGGCGGTGCTGGTCTCCCCATTCTTCTTCTGGGGCACGGCAATGGTGGCAATGAAGGAGGTGTTGCCCAAGACAGGGCCTTTCTTTGTGGCTGCTTTTCGTTTGATTCCGGCGGGGTTGCTGTTGGTGGCATTTGCCAAGTCGAGGGGCAGGCCTTCTCCCTCTGGACTCACTGCTTGGCTTTCCATTGCTGTCTTCGCTCTTGTGGATGCCACCTGTTTCCAAGGGTTTCTTGCTCAAGGATTGCAGCGGACTTCTGCTGGTTTGGGCAGTGTATGTTCTACTTTTCTATCCATACTATTTGTACTAAATTTAGAGAAGTTAGTACCTAATCCCACCCACCCCCACCTTTTCTTTTTCCTTTTTTCTGATAAGTATATAAGAAATGTGACCTATTGCTGTTTGATTTATGCAGGTGATAATTGACTCACAGCCTTTGACAGTAGCTGTGCTTGCAGCCTTGTTATTCGATGAGTCCATTGGATTAGTAGGAGCTGCAGGACTAGTCCTTGGGGTCATTGGCCTTCTACTTCTTGAGGTAAACACTAGATTTTTTTCTTAATCTATTTCTTCGAGCTATTGTTTATCTCATTCATCATATGGAAACAATAATCTTTTTTAAAAAAACTGTTATCGGTGTTCGGGTTATGGTTTTTCTGGTTCGTTAATATATTCATTTATAGCTTCTTGGGAATATCTTTTTAAATGAGAGAGCCAAGAACTAGATTTTGATTCAGGGGTTTAGCTCTTTAAATTGTTATTAAGTTATTAAATTCTCTAGTTGATTAGTTCTGCTTTTATCCTGGATAAAAATAGAGGCTCTATTTGGCCCGATTGGAGCTTCTATAGGAAGTGTTCTTTGAGTAAAGTTGTTCTAAAGTGCTGTAAAGAGAAGTTGAGATAGCGGCTTGGCAAACTTAACACAGAAGTGCTTTAGAAGGTAGAAAACTATTTGATAGTATTTTTGTTTATTTTTTATAAATAAAGAAAATAAAAGACTCAACTTTATAAAATTAAATCATAAGTTTTTAAGTGAAAGAAATAATAAAACAACCACGGTATTAATACTTCACAGGATGTTGTGTTAGCATAAATGAGTGCCCTATATTTAGAATATCTTGCTTTAACAAGCAGTGTTATATTCCCTATTATTAAAAAGTATCCACACATCTTTGGCTTTGTTTGGCCTAGCTGGAGGTTTTTAGCAAGTGTTATTTTGAGTAGATCCTTTCAAAAAGTATTATAAAGAGAAGTTAAAAATGCATTTGGCAAACTAAACGCAAACTAGCTCTAATATGTAGAAAGATGTTGGTCACTGTAGATCATGATTTTGTCATCATATAATTCTATATTTACTTTTCAGTTCGGTAAATTAGTTCTTATATCTTTAGTTTTACGTTTGTTCATGCAATGGTTACATAATCGATATGGGCTTAACTCTAGGATATGTGGCCTATCAAAAAAAAAAAAACTCTAGGATACATGGCAGGAATCTAAAGTTCACAATTAGGTACGCGAACTTTGCTTCTGTTAAATAGTTTACACCTAAGACTAGCTTTGTTTGTCAAATGGTAAACATCTAATAAGAATGTGCCACATGTCTAACTCTTATTACCTATTTTTGTCATGTCACCCATTTGACTAACGGAGTAACTGAAGTGTGTAATATACTTAACACAATAAAAGTTGACCTTTGTAATTTTGGTCAATCCCTGAAGTTGAACAGCTCATTAAAGAAATGCTGAGCAACAATTAGAGCATCAGAAGTTTTTAGACAAAGAAATAATCAACTCATCTTAGGATAACGATCCACTAATATAAAGATTCAATCATGACACCTCGAAGTTTTATAAGTCAGATTGATTAAGAAATAACTTTTTTGACACCTTTTACTTGATTCGAACCCATTGTCTCAAGAATTAGCCCTCTTAAGCTGATACTCATTAAATACCTAATGGTTTTATTATCTCAGAATAAAATATTATTAGATTTGCATGAATTTTATTAGGCTGCAGGTCATGAAGCTCTATGCAAATTTATTTTCCCTTTTTTTGCTTATAAAAAAAAAGGGGAAATAAATTTGCATAGTGCTTCATCATGAACCTATAATCAAATTCACATATCATGGCCTTCACGTTTTGATGGGAATTTTGATCTCCAACTAGTGGGTTGTGCTTGCTGGGTTTGTCCAAGCCTTTGGGATTCGCTTTATGCAAGTGAATGATGTCAAATAGTTTATGCTTGATTTGATATTAGACATCAATTGATGCTTGGGGCTTGACACGAGTGCCCTCCATTATGTATACAGTGTAGTGATTTGTGACTAGAACAGATGAACTTTCATTCACATTAAAAGGAAGATTGTGTTTTGCATATTCTCCTCATGAAAACATAAATGTACAGATTTTTGTAGAACATTCCATAACTTTTGGGAGGCTAGTTATTGACCTTTGTAATGCAAAGTTTAAAACAAATAATCACATTTTTTGTTCCTTGTGAACCCTGATTTGTTCATTTTGTTTTAGAATGGTTAGATCCAAATTCATTCCTTTGAAGAGCTGTTGGTATCATTCCGTTGAAGAGCTGTCACTATCATTGCCTTTTCCTGCAGTTCTTATGTATAAAAAATTTAAGTTGTTGTTTAAGGCTGTATATGATAATTAGTTTTGATTTGGGATAATTGTTTTCATTGTTTAAGGCTTTTGCTTAAGCAAATACAACTGCTCCTTGTTTTGCCTTAGTATAAGATAAGCTGTATTTTGCAGGTACCTGCAGTTGCATTGGATGAAAGTAATTTTTCACTATGGGGGAGTGGAGAATGGTGGATGTTCCTTGCAGCTCAGAGTATGGCAGTTGGAACTGTCTTGGTCCGCTGGGTTTCCAAATACTCTGATCCTATCATGGCAACTGGATGGGTAGGCATCCCAATTTCCTCTTAATAAGCTTGTTATCATTTGATTATCTGTGATTCTTATTGTCTTTACTTACAGCCTTTTTGTAAATATCTTTAGGTCTTACTTTACTTGTTTCTTTCTAGCAAGGTAGTAGGCAGCATACTTGATGTAAGATGAGAGAGAGAGAACCATGACGTTTATAAAATGTCATCTTGGAAATTAAATAAACAAGTCATCATCATCCAAGATGTCAAGTTTTATTTCCTCAAAAACAACTGCATCTACTTCTAAGCTTCCCATGACAGCTTATATCATCTTCACATCTACATCATTTTCCCCTTTAAAACCTGATCCTTCTTCCTTATGGTTTTGTACTTTGACCTCAAGATGAAGTGTGTGTCCACAACTTTTACATATTTGATATCATGCTTCTTCTCTTCCTTCTGATTTCAACAACTTTCTCTTTCACAATATTAGTTCCTACTGGAACTTGTTTTTAGTACCAATGTAACTAGATTGAGACCTTGAAGCCCAAAATGAAACCTTAGTTTCTTGCAGTTGCTTCAGTTGCTTATACCTTTTCTTCATTTTCAAACTAGAAGCTTTTCTCATTCTGACATATAACTTTGGAGATGATAGGCTAAAGGATGACAATTTTGAGGGATGTGCCTCTATCTTAGAGAGATTAACTCATTCAAGTGCGTAGGGAGTTCAGACATATCATCATCTTTTTATTTTTGAGACTGATTGTATGTAATGTTGCTCATTTAGAACCTTAAAATTATTGTTTCACCCGCTGATATTGCAAAATGTCACCTTTCATTCTGAGGAATAGTTATTATAGAGTTTGGTTCATGGAATAACATTCTCATTATGACATTATTCCAGTGTTTAGTTGGCAAAAATAACTTTGGAATGACCTGGCAAAAATAACTTTGGAATGACCAAGGTATATGTGATAAAAGGACAAAAATACCCTTTATTATAATCTATGATTTTCAAACAAAAATTTCTAGCTATTTTTATAATTTATTTAAAATATTAATAAACTTTTAATTAAAACTTTAGTATGATTATTTATTTTTATTTATTTCTCTATTTTTATGTTCTAAAACATTAATAATTTATAGCTTATTTAAAATATTGGTAATTTATAATTAAAACATTAATATGATTATTTATTTTTATTTTATTATTTGTCATTTATAATTAAAACTTTAAACTTTAATTTAAAATATTAATTTTTTATAATTTATAATGGTGCTAGTGCTGTTGCCACCTTTCGGTGGTGAAGGAAATGTAGAGAGAGGAGAGAGGTAGAAGAGTAGAGAGAAAAAAATATATATATGAATATATGGTAGTAATTTTTAAAATTGGTTATGGGCATTTTTATACAATAACTTTTTTATCCTATTCCAACGCAGTTGGAATAGTCATTACTAAGGGGGTCGGTAATGGCTATTCCAAGCTTTCTCAGAATGGCCATTCCATGAACCAAACAACTTCATAAAAGGTGATAAGGGATAGGGGGAATGGCTATTCCGTTCTCCGTGACCAAACGCCATTAAGGTACATTGTAATTTGTCTTTTCACAAGTTAAAAATTATAATCTTGCTCTCCAAGGTAAAATACAAGTTTTTATATTATTTATTAAGTTAAACGAATTAAAGTTGCATGATTCTCACTATTTAATATGTAAGTGACGAATGACAATTTCTAAATATATTAAATATTATATTTTTTATTTTATCAACCTTGTGTAAAATTAATTTTTCTTATTAGTAATTTTAGTTAACCTAATTTAATTAGATAAACAACAATTTGAAAAAGAACTAAGCATGGTTATCAATGAATCTTCCATATGGATTTAATTTGGTTAAAGTGCAGATTTGTCCCTCTACTGGACAAAATTATGAATTTTAATTCCTTTTCTTTTTTCATTTCTAGGATTTTGATTCTTATTCTTTAATTAAATGTGGATTTTGGTCCCTCCGATAATAATCAAAGTTAAATTGGTGACATAGATTGTTAAATTAATGCTGTGGCTATTTTTTTGACTGACATGACAAGTTCAATGACTTTTTTAATTATTTCTCTTTGATTATTTCTTTTAGTTTCTATTTCTTTTAGATTTATTTTTTTATTTCAAATTTTCATAAATATATTTTTTTAATTTTGTATTCTAAAAAATAGACAAGTTAAAAAATGATATGTAGCTTGCCACGTCAGCCAAAAAATAGCTACGTCATCAATTTAACTGTAATTATTGATGGAGGCACCAAAATCTATATTTAATATTAGTATAGGGTCCAAAATACTTGAAATATAAAGGGTGATTAAGATCCATAATTTTGATAAATACAAACATCAAATTTGTACTTTAACCATGTAATTACATATATAATAACCTCCTATGGGCTCCATTTGGTTTTTTCCTTCTAGAAGGATGAAGGGTTTTAGAGATAATTGATGTTGTAAAGTTACAGTAAGTCATACTTCCTCATTTTGTCTGCTTGCACAACCTCTGTGAAAGATGGAAATTAGAAACTAATATACATGAAATTCTATTGCAGCACATGGTTATTGGTGGTCTTCCTCTTGTTGGAATCTCCATTCTCAATCATGATCCTGTTTTCAGTGGGAGTTTTAAGGAGCTTTCAGCCAGTGATTTGTTGGCACTCTTTTATACATCCATTTTTGGAAGTGCCATCAGCTATGGTGTATACTTCTACAGTGCTACCAAAGGTTACATTTCTTCCAAAATTCGAACATATGCTTATTTCATTTCGGTATCCTATTGTTATTTATTTTTTTGGGGAAGGGGGGGAGTTGGTGGATTGGAGTTGTTTCAGCATCGGAAAAGTTATCTGGCATTTCGAGTTTAAACCTGTATGTGAAATTTGAATTGCCATTACGAATGGATTTCAGGTAGCTTGACGAAGCTCAGCTCCCTCACCTTCTTGACGCCCATGTTTGCTTCAATTTTTGGGTAAGATATTGCAATTTGGTATGAGGTTCAATAAAGAATTGGTAATGTAGAATTCTACCGTAAGGGTTAAAATTTCTAACATCAAAATTAACATCCAGAGATGGCTGGATAATTTTGACAAAAATGAGAGCTGATTACTTATGAAAATCATATAACAGAAATTTCTAGTCTTTGTAATTGGTTCACTGCTAATATTGTCATTCCTAACCACAGGTTCTTATACCTAGGTGAGACCTTCTCACCCTTGCAACTGGTTGGGGCTATTGTCACCATAGTTGCCATATACGTGGTTAACTTTCGAGACGGTTTACAGTGAAGAACCTGGTCGGTGAAGATGCATAATATCAGAAAGAGAATGATGTTAAATTCACCTTGATGAGACGTGAAGAACCTGGACGTGCTTGGAAAGATGGACGTGATTTAAGAAAGAGCATTAAGTCTGAGACGCCTAGCTCAGCTATTGAAGCAATTAGTGTCTGTAAATATTATTGCCAGGATGATTTACGAGTTTTCTCCAGGTAAGAATAGATGAAGGTCGTTTTTTCAGGGCTACAATATAATGTTAGACTGCTCTTTTAACTGCACCAGTTTTATTATGGCAAAATGCAACTAAATTGAGTGTAAATACTTTTTTTTCAAAAAATTATTAATTTAATTCCAAATAGTAAATTCAACTCGAACCATTAGTCTAATAATAGTTAATAACTTTAAATTATTAAATAGTGAAACAGTTAACCAATTTATGTTAACCTTGTACAATTTTTGTAATTTTTGAGTGAAGAACAAATAAGAGAATTGTAATTTTTGTAATTCTCATTATCGGGAATGAATTCTGTTACGTTGTGCTATTTATAGCTAATACTAACAACATTAACTTTCTCCAAAAGTAAGCTATCAGACTAACAAACTTAACAAACTAAAGAATTTAAATTACACAAATAACCTTACTTGACTAATTGCAATTTACAAAACTACCCGGCTATTACAGGTTACCAATAATTGTCATCATGCGCACTGCGCATACTTGATTCTTATTACTCTCACATAGATGTCCATAATGCTCATCAAATGGAGGAATTGTGCAGGCTGGAATGCCTTTGTAAACATATCTGCCAGTCGGTCTTTAGTGGAAACATGCTGTGGAGTAATGATGATAAAATGACAATTTATCTCTGTATGTTTTGTCTTTTCATGAAGAATAGGATTCTTGCATATGTGTAAGGCAAACTGATGATCACAATAAAAATCATTTGATGTTTTATGTTCAACACCAAAATTGAAACCCCAACTTTTATGATATGGAAGTTTGTGATTTTGAGTATTTTATGACCTATATTTTATTTTAATTATTGGATGAATTTTTCCCAATTATTGGATTAAGAATAATGATTCTTCATGAAATAGTATTATATTTGTGGATGATCAATGGTTGAAAATATGGAAGAGAAGGGTAGTTAAAAGAATAGATTTTTTTTTTCTATGTTAAGGCATGAAGGGTCTATCCCTAAGCAGTGGAGGGTCGATCTTACAAAACAAAATGCTTAGGAGAGCTTCTAGAACCAAAAAGATTGACCCACAAGGGCTAAAAGGTCAATTCTTGTAAGATGAAATGCTTAGAAAGTTTTTTTAGAACATTAGGATCGACGCTCAAGCTTTTAAAAGTCGATCCCTACAAATAGAACTTAAAATTAGCTACTCGACATGAAAAGGATTAACCATTGAAGGTTTATGGTTGATCCCTACAAACTTAGGCCAAAAAAATATGCTCAGAGATCGACCCTTGGGGTTTAAAAGTCGATCCTTAGGGTTTAGCATGGAAAAATATATAACCCTAACCCAAGTCCTAGTTCTCATTTCTACTTTCTTCGGACTCAATTTCACCTTTAATAGCCTCGAAACCCTCCTACAACCTTTCAAGCTTTTAGCAAGGATTCAACTTGTCAAATTCGAATCTAAGGTAAAATTTAGCATTTTTGGGTTTGAAACCCATGGTTATTATCTAACTCTATATTTCTACGAATTTCAACTTATTAATCCTTCATTAAGCTAAGGATTTGGGGGGTTTTTACTCTTCAAAAAGGTTATGAAGGTAAGAATACTTAAGGTTGTTCAATAAATGGTTTTGGTTTGAAGTTTGAAAGCTTGTTGGAATTAAAATGAAGGATATTTGATTACTCAACTACCTCCAAAAATGGGTTTGCTAGAAGCTATAAGCTTTATGATAGGATTTATTGTGCTCAGTGATTGTTTGTGAAGCTAATTTTTCATATTGTGGAGATTTGTAAAATTTGAACTTTTATGAATTATATTTGGTGAGGATTACCAATGAAAATTTCTTGTCATTTGATGTTCAATCTCTCCATATTGTTGAGTTACATTCATGGAAAAATGATGGTTGCAAGCATGGGTGAAAAAGGAAACCAAAGATATGGATTTTTCCAAGTTTGAGCTTGAAGGGTTGATCCAATGGTAAGACAAATCCCAATGTGCACAAGATCCTTAGATAGCTTTTGGAAGTATCAAGAATCAAACCCAAGTAAGGAAGGGTTGATTCTTACAAGATGGAATTCTTAGAATAGCCTCTGGAAACTTAAGAATCAATCCTTAATGGTTAAAGGGTCAATTCCTATAAGTTAGAATTTCAAAATAGCAAGTTTGAGTTGAAAAATAAGCATAAGGAATTGACACCTAGTAGTCAAGGTGTTGATTCCAAGGTTCTAGTGTGGAAAAAAAATATAAAACCTAGCTTGAGCCCTAAAATTCATTTTTCACTTTTTCAGCCTCCAACTTGGCTCTCACACCATCCAAACCCTCTCCTAACCTCTCAAGACCCTATTAGATAAGGATTCAACCTTCCTAACATGATTCTAAGGTAAGATTTGGCATTTTTGAGTTTAAATCTCATGAGTATGACCTAACTCTAGGATTTTACAAATGTCAACTTATTTATTCCATTTTTGAGCTAAGAATTTTGGAGATTTTGCTCTTCAAGGAGGTTGTGTAGGTAAGGAAAGTTAAGGTTGTTCATTTTATGGATTGAGTCTGAAGTTTAGAAATTTATTGGAACTTAAAGGGAGGTTATTCGATAAATATACTAGTTTCGAAAATGGGTTTCTTGGTAGAAACTAGGAGCGTATGATAGGACCTATTTTATTAGGTGATTGTTAGAGCTTGGGATAGTAGAATGAGTGTGGTTTGGTGACTCGAAGCTTAGAAGAAGTCACTTCTTGTCAAGGTGAGTGGATACACCTTTTTACAGTATTTTAATAAGGTAAAGCTAAGCATGGTTTATTGAATTGTTTGACGTGCATGATTTGAAAATTATGTACACAATATTAAATAAAATGATTTTAACCAAATGTTATCAAAGAAGTTTCAGAATCTATATGTGTGTGTGTGTGTGTGTGTGTGTGTGTGTGCGTGTGTGTGTGTAAATATCTCTACCATGCATTAGTTTTTAACAAGGGTGGATAAACCCTTTCAAATGTTTTCCTTTAAATGTTTCAATTCCATTATGATGATGAATGAGAAAAGTGTATGGATTATGGATGATAAATGGACATAAGTTTCCCACTTTTATCCTTGACGTTAAGTATGATGATGGAATATTTTGAGAAAATATAATGCAAGGTAAAATGGTACCTAAATTGTTGTTATGGAAAAATAGAGATGAATGCTTAGGTGGAGGTAGATGTTGCCACCCTTAAGCTTATGATATGTTTTATGAGAAAAACTTGAAACATGCGAGACATGATTCTATGGGATCGAATGTGATGTAGTACTACATACCTTACGAGATAAGCTTACTTATGAGTATGGTTTATAGAGAAATATGTGTATGATATGTTGATGATAATTGTATGAATATGTGATATTCTACACGATGATGAAAGCTAGATGTGGGGCATTGTACCACACACGGCTATTTATATCCTTGAGTTGAGGCGGAATACCACTCGCATATGATGAGAGTCAGATATCGGGTATCGTACCACACACAATTATATAGCCTTGCATTGGTGTTGCAGGGATGGTGGTAAGCAAGAATGGTAGTAATAGTCCCGCTTGTGATTCTTGCTTGAGTGATGAGAGCCAAATATGGGGAATCGTACTACACAAATGTATATAGCCCAAATGGGGCGGAGGTACCACCTATTTGTGATGCCTAGACATAGGACAAGACCAAGTAGGCACCTTTATTGCATATATGAATATTACATATTACTCTTGTTATTGTGATGCAAGTTGAGCTCGTTTCTTATGCTTGAATGTTTGATTGAGTGGTAGGTTAAACTCTAAGTTATAAGATAGCCATAGAATAGGTTGCAATGAATTGATTGAGTTTTATGGATCGGAAAAATGTTCACTTGAGTTATATGGATTGAAAGATGATTACTAAATATTATATGATTGAATCTTATTAGAAGTTTTGAGTATATAAGTAGCTCACTTGATTTACAGAAAGATTGGAGTAAGTGACCCATAGCTTGGGTTTATATGGTTAAGTATTGTTTCCCTTCGGAAGGACCCAATTCTAAAGGTAAAGTACAACTTCCTTGTTTTTCCTAAAGGTTTTTACATAAATATTAAACTCATTTTAAGAACTATTTGTTTACGAATGTTGATTTCACCATGAAATGAGATTGGTTTATAACAATTCTATTTTATGAGAAATTTGAAATGAAGTATGTTTACTTCAAGATTCATGCATACATTAACAATGTAATTTGTTCTAAAACTCTCCCCCTTAGCTTGTCCTTTTCCCATATTCAGTCATAGAGTCTTTATGACTCACACATTAGTTTTCTCAATTTTTGTTGTATATCAGTGATAGCTCATCAGCCACCAGCGTCACAGAGACGTGATCCATTCCTCTTTCTTGGTAGGTGTTATAGCAGTTATCTCGAAGCCTAGAGAGTCAAGTCATGTATCGCTTGACTAGTTGATCTTTATATTACTATCTATGTTTACTTGTTTATACTGAAATGTTAAGCCATCGAATGGCAAGTTACTTAAATGAAATTATGTGAATATTATGAATGATGATCTGCAAGTCCATATGAGTACCTAGGGTGCGTTTACAGAATTTACATATATTGTATAAGGTACAAATATTATGAATGAAAACATACATATAATTCATGTTGAGAAGTCTATAATCATGTGTCTGCGTATATGTGATAACTCTATTATATAGAGTTAT